ATATCAGATGAAAAAAAAACTAATACGTTCCTTGATCGGCTAAGAATTTAAAATGCGACGGGTTAACGAATGAAACTATAGGTCTGGGGCTGAATCAGGGTCATTTAAGGGTTCTGTTTGGCAAGCAATTATTAATTGAGATTGAAATATGAGTTTATATTTTATAATGGATTATTCTGTGTATGGAGACTTGTGTGCAAATAATGATAATAAAAAAAAATTGTAGTATAACAATTTCATTGTTTTAATTTATTTTTTTTTAAAATATAATTGCACTAAATTATGCTAAAATTAAAAACAGTTTCTATTTGCCGTCAAAATGGTATACAGCCCGCATATACCGCCCATAATATGATATAGTAACTCATACGGTTATAATATATTATTTTATTAGAAAATAAAATTGAATTAAAATTTAACCCTGCAGCAACGACGAGGTTAATAATACCACGAGATTGTTATTATAATATTTTTGCGTAGGGGTCTGAAAAAAGTGAAACTTTACATACAGTGTTCCTTGAAGTTATAGGTGCGGATTTTATATCAATATTATGTATAAAATGGGCGTATCTTTGTGGGACAACCTATACGAACTAATAAGCATCATATCCGATATAGTATTATTTTGTATACCTACTCGCGAAGTTGATTATAAAAATTGAAAAACGTTTGTTATTTATTTTTAGATTCTGAGTGGAACGAAGAAGCTTATGGTTTTAATAAAGATGTTTATTTTTTGTTTTTTTATCTGTGCCCAACTTTTCTACCAGAAGACTTGCTCGGATTTCTACGCGCATCTCCTTTTCTGAATATATTTGTGTAATATTACAACATTTTTTTTCTGTGGACAATTTTTCTATTAGCAATTTTGTTCCAACTTTTATTAATAGCAATGTTTCTAAAAGGAAATTTCACTAGGTACTTTAGAAATGCAATTTTTCCATTTTCCCAAGAATTTTCCTTGTATATGTGAAAAACCGGGATAAACATTGGAAAATTGGGAAAATCGGTATAAAATTAAACGAATATTGTTAAAGAAAATATATAAAGCATATTTAATTATTTAACTATAAAATGACATATATATTGTTGACAAAGCGTCACTATCAAATGAACTCCGCTAACAATCATTTTTTTTTGTAAACAATGGTTTATCGTTGCTTACAGGTATACATTAAATTATCTATAATAGTGTCTGCACCCGTCCCCATTATCTTAGGACGTCTCTTTTGCATATACAAAGGTAAAATTGAATAACCACGCCAATAATGTCGACAATTCTTAAAGGCCATAGGGATATTATTACACGTTTTACAACTGTATATTTGCAGGTTACGTATCAAAAAAACAAAGTTCGTTAATGACGTATTTCGCGTGCGTTTAACTAAATTTGCGGTTGAGATTTTGACGGAATATCGCGTGTACACTGCTGCACAATGTTTGTAGTGTGTATATTTATTTTTTTTAAAAATCGTATAAACACGTGCGACTTTGCGGTTGACGTGATTTCGCATATATTTATGACAATATAATTACACGGTATTATTGTTGAAAAAAATACGATACGTTGTACCACCTAACCTATATATTATTATTGTACCCAAGAAAATGTCACGCGAAAAGTGCCTGTATTATACACCTACGCGTCACGAATGATATTGGAGACGGGGTTATATAGGGACAAGATCGGTGGATCATCGGCATCCCCGGGCCGTGGATTTTTTCACAATTCCATTTTTATTTGAAAACGCACAATCTGTGAAAAATCTACTTCCACGCGTAAGACCAACAAATAGGTAAACATATACGTACACGGTATTAGGGATAGTTACCAATAAATAAATGTACATAACACGATTGTTATTGGATAGTTTGACCAATCGATGCTCTAAAGCAACGTGCAATTTCTATAACGTAATAATAATATAATAAAAAGAAGAGGTATATTGAAAATGTACAACCGTTTTCGCTCCCTGCCCTCCCGCCTTTTACATTCGGCCGTGTCCCACACTCGAAGTATAACCGCCGCCGTCGATGTCGCGAATATAATATTATGTATATACATATATATATATATATATATATATATATATGTAAACGTATGTATTACGAACGGAAGGCTATAAATTTGCGATTATCCACGGTTAAATTGTATAATATAATATGAAAATCCGTCTCGGGACGATCAAAGAGACGGCGACGTCAACGCGTTATAATAATAATAATAATAATAATAATAATAATAATAATAGTAATAATAACAACAACAACACGAAGACGCGGCCCGCTCGCGAGTTTGTAATTAACCGGCAATCGAGCCGCGATTCGGCCCGGGACCGAGGCGTTCCGTACAGTAATAGCGTTGTTGTTGGATTTAATTGAGACCTCGTCGTTTTTCCGCGGCGGATTCGTACCTGCGTGTGGCGCGTTTCGCCCGTGCGCGCACCCACCGGGAGCGGGGCCGGGAATACACGCGACGACCGGGGAAAGACCGCCGCCGAGACCACCACCGACGAGCCACGCTGCAGACGATAATAATCGTATGCCGGCTACGTCGTATTGCGTACGAGTGTATACCTTATTATTAAGCGCAATAATTGTGTATTATGCTGCGTTTTCGGTGGACAAAAGACCGCGAAAGGGGCGTCGTTCAAGGTGCAAAACGTGTATGTTACGCGTGACCGTGTTATTGTCGGGCACGAGACGTTCTTGCGCGTTATAGTGTATTAACGCGGCATGGATATTATTACCGAGACCGAGCCGCGCGCGCGAAAAGCAACGGAAACCCGATGGAAAAAGAAAGAAAGAAAGAAAAAAATAAAAGAGCCGATGGGGGGCGGGGGGCGTGCCGCTGTTATGCAATACGTGGGATGTCGGGATTTGGGTAGCGTACGCGTGCATTTTATAGAGCTATTTGACTTGCAAGTACCTGTGCGCGACGGTAAATCATTATTTCAATATAGTATGGCTACCGGAAAACGATTCTGAGTGAAGTTCGGCCAAACATCGATTTGGTTATTTACGATTTTCATAGTAGACTTTTGCACTATGGACAGTACACGGGAAAAAAATACGGACATGTTTCGCACGACGGGCGGGGGCGCTGTTGTAGGTGAGAAGTCGGGAAGATAGGATTTGTAGGGGAAAATTCAATCCGCTGACGAAAGACCATTCTGAGCGGAAAGCGAAAGGCCGTATTAATATTTACGACTTGAAAGTAATACATTTCGTAAATTTTCGCTTTTTTCTTACGCTTTTTCCTGGTTTTTCCCATTTATTACGACAACAACTGAAAAAGTAAAAAAAAAAATGGCCTCTTTAAAGTACCTACCCAGTCAGATTTCCTTTCAGAAAAAATGCTACATTTCAAAAACGGAACAAAATCGCTGGTAGAAAAGATATATAAAATAAACATTATTGTAAAACCAATACCTAATTCCTCATTCCGCTCAGAATCTAAAAAAAAAAAATACAACTATTACGTTCGCGTTTTGTTTTCAAAACTTATTCGTGTGAAATTTTCGAGCATTTTGACTAGCCCGAAAATAATCGGGCGACCGTTAGTGGGTGAATTTTACTCCGGCTTATTGATCTGGTAAAAACGCGGTCGTACCTCTTTCTCTTAATAAACGGCCGCAGGTCTGGTATAAATTAGTAGGAAAATGTTTATAATTATTAAAAGACGAAAAATAATTTTCAAATTTTAAAAAACTGGAGAAAATTCGGAAAACTGCTTTCGACCCTCTTGGGGGTCTAGGTCCTATGTCCTACATTCCGATGACTGTGAAATTCGCATTCCGGTGTGCCCGTTGCGGCGATTAAAAACAACAAATCTGTGGAATATTTGTATCTCCAACGTATTTGCATTTGAAACCGTCGCTCGTGTCATCGAGCGAATTCGTTAGCACCCGTCGGACGAACGCTAACACAGAAAATTAGTGATTGGGTAGTAAGTGATCAGGAGCACAGTATAGCGGCCGAAAACGCTGATATAGATAGGGATTTGGAATTTGTTTTTTTTAAAAATGAAATTTACCGTATAAAAAAAGTAAATAAACCATTTGTATTGTTAAGTTAGAAAACTGTATTCAAAAAGATTAGAACCATTAAAATAGTCGGTTTTTAAAATATTTTTTAAGGGTTTTTTTTGCAGGGATTCTCGAAGTTTTTAAGCGGCTTTTTTTTGTGAATTTTAAGCACACGTAAATCCGTTTCTCGATTCTTATAAAAAGTTATTTTTGTAATTTGTTTACTTTTTATTGTAAGTGATTCGTATAATATTGTCGCGTTTCTTAAATCTGCCATTTCAAAAACAACAGTGTTACTAAATTTACGGATATTTATTTTCGACTATTATTGGCGGAGGGTTTCCGTTGCGATTGAATTTTCAGCGTACACAGACCGCTCAACAACGCCAAAATCGTTTGCGGACGACAGTCGCCAACACCCGCACGAACGTTTATCGTACGAATTTTTTTTTTTCCAGCGAAGATTAATTTCGTTTATTTTTTTATTTTTTTTTTTTTTTGTCGGTCATCGACGTCCTTACAATATACGCGTCTCTAACGACAGCGCTATCGATATTGCGACGGTGTCGTCGACGTGCCGCGCGAAAGTCGAAAAACAAAACCGCTCTCGCTCGCGGGTACGTATCGCGACGCCGAAAGACCGCGCGGCGGCGGCGATGACCCGCGGGGGTCTCCGGGGCCCGACGTGACATAATAGGCCGCGGTTATTAGGCGTGCACGTCAGCCCGAGGATCGCGTGTATATACGGCGGCGTGTATAACCAATTACGATGTTCGGGAGGCGTGTCTCTGCGGCGGCGGACGAGACGCCGTTCGCTCTCTCGCTCCCACGTCTTTATATACTATTAATATACCCACCGGCTCGGCCGCCGCCGTTCGTCGTCGCGCGCGTTTCCCACTGTCCGCCGCCGCCGCTTCGACCGCAGGACCGCGACGACGACCACGGCGGCGGCGGCGGGGCATTAAAGTCTCCGACGTCGAACCGTTCGCTCGCGCGCGCATCCTGTCGCCGCGTACCGTATACCGCGTGCCGCGCGTCTATACGTTTTCGAATCGTAATAATAATAATAACAACAATACACGAGCAATTTTACGCGTTTCGTTCGGTCCGATCGTAATAATAATTATTACATCCGCCGTAGAAAAAAAAACGATTCTACAAACCGAAAGCGATTTACTGTCGAGACGCGCGTATAGCATACCGCAGTTACTCGTATTGCACGTGATACCGGATAGCGAACAGTGCAGTGCAGTGCGTCTTCGCGCGGTCGTCTCGTCTGGTCGCGGAACGCTTCTCGAGGCGCTATGCCCGCCGTCGCGTCGGTCGACCGGCCGTAACGCGCGGCGGCTGCAAATCGCCGAGGACTCGAGCGCCGACGTGAGCTGCGGCCGACCGGTGGCGGCCGGTGGCCCGGGTACCTGCAGCAGACGTCGGCCCCGCGGGCATGCCGCCCGTCCCGTAGGGCTCCACCGGCCCATTATGCGCACAGTCCGGTCCCGCATCACCGTCAACGTGTTGTTTTGGAACGTTTTGTTGGTCATCAACTTCGGGTGAGTCCATTGTCTGCACGCTACTTGTGTGTTATTATTATAGTTTACTTCAATACACATGTATGGCATTCGTTTACACCGTCGCCTACACAAAAAAAAAAAAACAAAAAAAAGTGATCTATACGGAACTGTTATAGGCGGGCAGTCGGGAAGGTACGATAAACAGGGTAATTTATTTTATGTACCGTATAATTTCGAACGAAAACTACGATTTTCAGCGGTGTATTATTAGTCGTGTTTTCCGTTACAGTTCCTATACGTTTTTTGATTGGAGCAATATTTCTGGTAGACAATAGTTGACAGACAGAAAAAAACACACGTCGTAGTAAAACCAATACATTGCTCGGTGCACTCAGAATCTATACAGATCTAAACCTATACATGATTTATAATTCAGACCATATATATATATATATATGTATGTAATTTATAAAATATCACGTTGTAATATTATTTTCCGAAATCGAAAATCGTATTGACTGAAAAATCATTAACAAACACAACCAAACAATTTATGGTAACTGCAGTATTAAATTTCCAAATATCAAAATCATTATTATTTGGTATACGCATACAGTTATATATACACGTGATCTTTTGAGCTAAAAAAACCAAACGAATTCGGGTTAAAGGTTTATTTAAAGCTATATACTGTGTACTATAATAAATTTTAATCGGACATTTAAAGCGTATAAAAGAAAATTATAATAATATATGATATTACGATTGTAAATACGAAATATGAATTTTTTTTTTTGTAATTCTTAATTATTGCTGTACGCGTTACACAATTAATAAACTATGGAAATTATAATGTAGTAAAAACGAAAAATAAATCAAAATAAACATTTTACACTGATATTTGTTTGTATTAAAGTACCTGTATTATTATTATGTAGGTATAATATCTACATAATAGTATATTTATATATATATTTTTTTACGGATATAGATACCTAATCCTAATGTGAAAAAAAAGGGGAACGTCTAAAATAAAAATGTCACTGTAAAAAATGTAATTTATACACGGAGCTTATAGTATTTGTACGTTGTATATATTATGTACCTATATATATATATATTATATACAGGATATAATCACATTTTCCAGATTTTTTATTTTTTTTTTTTTGTTTTGTTCTTAAATCCAATTTATATAAACCGAACCGATACATCCCCTTTCACCGCGCGCGCGCGTGATTAATGTGATAACCGTTTCTCGGCGTCGGACCCCAAACCACGTCGAATTGCCCCGGAGGGCTTTCCGTTATAGTATATGCGCGGTCGATGCGCGCGAGAGAGGGAATTCGACGGACAAAAATCTATATAATATGGACACTCGTGGGACGTGTTTCATATTTTTTATGTTTTTTTTTTTTTTTATCCCTCGTAAACGACGTACCTTCTTACCTACTCGTGTAAAACGCGTCCCGAAAATCTCTGAACCAATCGGTTTTCGCACAGATATATTATTTAGTGTACGCGTCTACCTGTCTATCTTTGGTCCCGTGGAGGATAGGGTCAATATTTTTGTTTTTAGGTATAAATTTGTCTTATGTTATTTTTTCCCCTCTATTCGGTCGTCTGAATGGCATAAGTGTATGATGCATATTTTAACCCGTAGCGTTAAACTGAAAATTAAAACTACGTGAGTCACTTTTTATATTAATCCAATAAAGTATTTATGGGAGGTTTAGGAGAACAAAAAATTCAATAAAACAAATCAGACAAATGTTTTTGCGGTGTAATTAAATAATTAGTATAGAAATTATACATATACTTGTGTCGCTGTAGTTTTATTAAGTTTCTGAGCTACGGCTAAATATTAAGTGCGATAAAGACAATGTACCTTTTTGATAAAGATTTTATCGCACGGTAAAACTGCAGATTTAGTAGTTAGCAGATTGGAATTCGTATACATTTTTAATATTGAATTGCCTTCAAGAATACCCAGGAACGTAACTGTTAAAACGGACACTCCCGGAAAATTTTTGAAATACGCCACTGAAGATGATGTATTTTTTTGTTCGGCGAGAAAAACATGTGATATATTTATCATAAATAGCAAATTAGTCCCAACGCAGTTCTCAAAATTCAATTTACTTGTATTGAAAAATATACAAAATTGGTCCTTCTTTCCTGGAATCAAAGATATATAATTATTAATGGCATACTCAATATTGCGCAATGGCGGGAGAGGTTTAAATATAGAAAATAAATATCATACATAATAAATGAAAGCAGTGTATCTATTACATCTATTAGGTACTTAAATAAATGCCGGGTTGCACAAAAACAGTCCTTTAAACTGTCGGTTTAATAAAATATCGGCTCTGTAAAATTATAGTTATTGAACAGATTACGTTTCATACAAATATTTTATTATTTGGATATCCATGTATATACAATATATTATCTATGGTTATAAGTTATTACTATTTATTATACCTACTTTGTGATCAGCCATAGTTATTATTAATTTTTACGTGAATACAAAATTTGTAAAAACTTGTAATATTGTACAAAATCGTAAATTGTACAAAACTGTGTTTAAACGGCTTTGTAAAGTTTTATGTTACAAGTTGCATGAATCTGATTATAAGATAATTCTCTCTATACATAATACGTACGCTAGAAATGGCGTACAATAAAAAATGTCGACCTGTCTGGTTGTATGACCCGGAACTAGAAACGTTATTTTTGATAATAGATTAGACCAGTAAATAAATCCATTCGATAATTTATAAATAAAACAAATATCCTTCTAACTTGTAGAGTATCGAGCTTTAAGTAATGTAATATATATATATATGTTGATAAGATGAGCGGGATTGTCGTTTAATATTATATGTATTACTTGTTTTAGAAAGCGATTTTGAATTGTCTTAAGAGACTGGTTAGGACCGATAGAATAGGGAGACCAAATTACTGAGTTATAATCTAAGATTGATCGGACAAAAACACAGTCAAGTGATTAAAGGGTTAGTGAATTGTAAAAGTTATTGCAGTACCAATTTATAAAGTCTATCAACGAGGAAGTTTTATTTTGCATGTAAAAATTATACTCGTGAGACGAATTACGATGAATGTCTAAAACTTTTATGTAAATGACTCTATATAGTACAATACCATTTAAGAATTATAGACATGCTTATTATAGTTGAATAATTAGTGCAAATATGATGTATCTACAATGATTATTATTTAGTAATCAGTAATAAATATGTAAGTTTTCAATGTTAAACAGTTTATAATTTATTTTTTTTAATTTCAACAAGGTCGATGGGGGGATAGGGCTGTAGCTTCCTTCGGGGTCCCTTCCTGGGTACGTTATTGCTATATATTATTTAATAGGTACGCGGGGTGCAGTATATTTAGTCAATTCACACCGTTTATCGTATAATAGATGTTTTGTATATTAATGTCTTAAATGTAACTATATATACGAGTATAAGTCATGGTCTAGTGATTATAATATTATTAACATAACCATTTATTATACATAATAATGTAATATATTATGAGTATAGTTAAACCGCAAGATCGATGTTTCCGGGTGGAGTTTAAGACTGTCGTGGGGTTCTATATTAAATGGTCCGGTTCGGAAACCCTGGTGTCTAAAAGTATTGGTCTGATTCGGTTGTGGTTGGATGCATTCTGTGAAATCGTTTATTTCATGAAACGGAAACCGTTTATTTATACATCCTTGTGAAATATTATTACTTCACATCGTGTGTTTATATCGATAATAAAATTATTATGGAACGGGATATCGGAAATTTCAGAGTATCTACATAAGATCAATTTTTTAATACGGTCGTATGGTAAAAGTCAAATAAATTTAGATATTTTTAAAATTCCGTTTTATAGAAGAAAATGTTTACCACATAACATTCGGTAAAAATTTCCCAAAGTGTGTAAAAAAAAAAAAAGTTTTGGTGAAACCAAAATTTTTAATTTAAGGAAGTTAAGTCCGTTCTCGGTGAAGATAAAATAAGAGGAATGGGAAGATATTTGACCCTCGAAAAATTTTGAAAAATGTCACCGATATGTATATTAATATAATATTTTAAACAAAAATGAATATAAAGTGCATTCAGAATCTGAAAAGAAGACGGACACACTTCGTACGATGGGTGGGGTACTGGTATAGATGAGAAGTTGGGAAGGTAGGTTATATAGGGGACGTTAATGTATACCTTTACGCAACGATTAATCATATTGTTAACGAAAACCGATTCTGAGCGGATTTCGGTTATATATGTTTTGAAAGGCCGTAATATTTATGGTTTTCTTTAAAATTTGATATTAAAATCTTTAGAAAAATTCTAATTTACACTCAAAATGCCACGACCTATAATATAGCTCCTGTTAAATTTTTAAATATTTCTGTTAGGTCTAACAATTTTATCCACATAGTACCCACCGAATAAAAATTACGTAAAAATTAGCAAAATTAAATTGTTTATAAATAACTAAAAAATTGCTAAAATATGTGGAAAAATTTACCACGTTTAAAAAAGCAAATATAATTTTTCTCTCCAAAATTTAAGTCCCTATGAATATTTTTAACTGAATCACAACAAAAAACAAAATTGAAAATAATAAATTTCCTGCATTTTCCCGTTTTCTTATATATTTCCCGGTTTTTTCCAATTATTATAAAAACCGTTTGGAAAATCTAAAAATGACTTCTTTATAGTAACATACAGATAAAATTTCCTTTTGGAAAGGTACTACACTTGATACATCGGAGCAAGATTTCTGATAGAAAAGTTGTTTACAGAAAAAAAAAATAAACATCATTATAAAACTAATATTTTCCTTGCTTTGCTTAGAATCTAAATAGTTTAGAGTTAGTCCTAATAATTATTGTAATACGAAATATGTCTTAGCGTAACTTTTTTACTGAGTTTATAAATAGTATGAATAAGTGAAATATCAGACCATCAAGCCATAATAGAATTCAGGTCATCTGGAAAATTTCCATTTCTAGACCGGCTACATCGTTGCTGATACAGAGTGATTATATTATTGAACCTTGTGATTATCTATACGCACGAAGATTCTCGGATAAATTATAGAACCATTTATCTGTCTTATGTTTACAATATTTTCCAAAATTGTATCCTTGTTGCATATAAACTGTTAAACATTATTATTCCTAAATTAAAACTAATAAATTATAGCTATAATAAAATCGTACATCCAATATCGTAGTGCTGTGCGTAACACAATTTTTAGAAAAATAAACTCTTTTGTACGGGGGATTAAAAAAATTTTGTTTGAAATTCAAATTTGATGTTTGTAGTCAATACATAAAAGGTACATAGTATTAGGCAGTGGCGTCCGTAAGGAGGGATGTTCGGGGTTATATCCCTTCTATTAGTTAAAAAATTCAAGTAATTTAATATCGAAATGTATATTATATTTTAGTCAAGTTACGAGAAAAAGCTTGATGTATTGATTAGATACGGGGTTTTTTTTTTTGAAATTCGGCTTTTCAATTACCAATTCCCATAATCGAGAGTTGGTTAGTGAAGTCTTTGTCGATCCGTATCATACGGATTATCACTTTTCGATCAATACGGATCGGTAATTCGGTCTTATAGTTGAACAGTCAGCGTTACTTGTGACGCGTATTCGCATTGAACAAAACGTGGTTTATCGGAACACCGACTTCGCCACCGGGTCGGAAAAGTGAATATTATCTGTGTGTATTCAGTGGCGTAACCTCCCTTGGCTTAAAATGTTTTAACTTCCCCCAAGGCTTTTTTTTTTTTATAGCTATAGGTAAGGTTAAGAAGGTTTTAGACCAATAAACCCTCCTAACCCCTCCTTCCATTGATAAATTCTGGCTACATCACCGTGTGTGTTACTTATTCACCGCAGACACGAGCCCTCGGGGCATTGCGTGGCGCACACGATCGACATGCAACCAGTTGTTGGAATACCTTCGAAAATATAGTCGGCCGGTCGTAAATAATTCGCCGTTTAAAGAATTAATAATATTATTATAATCGAGAGAGCGAAGAAAAAGTCAAATAACAAGCGCGCGCGCATACAAATATTTATTACGCGTTTTTATTGTCGAAAAGTCGATTATAAATCAAATTCACGATAATATGTTTATAGTACTATAACGGCGTGCACGTCATGTATATTATATGTCCCGAGGCTTAATCGTTCCCGTCACCACTGCCGAAAAACCGCGCGGCTATCTGTCGTCCTATACCTACCGCATATTTTGTAAAATAAACTTAAAGACCTCGGGTTTTTATGTAATTAATCGAGATGTATAACCATCAAGCTAATGCGCAGGATTTATTTATGTGCGCGCGTCGATGTGTATGTGTGTGTGTGGAGAGGGGGATACGATTTTTTTTTATAAAATAAATAAATACATCTATTATTACTTATTAGTAAGCTCAACAGTCAAAAACACAAGTAATATAATTTTTCGACAACACAATATTGTGCAAAGTAAATTGAAAATATAAAATCGATACTCTAATTATTGACTTGGCGAGGTCATTTTTATTGATATATATATACGTAAAATTACGTAAGTTAGCACTCAACAGTTTGTAATTCTTGTTAAGTTTACTTTGTATCTTGTACATTTAATCGATAGTTTCGTAATCTCATATTATGAAGTATTTGCTATATTGGTTAGACCCAATATAACGTAAATATGTACTCTCAGGTGTGATATAAATTCGTTAATATAGATATCATCTATCAAGATTTAACTTTTAAGGATTTTGACCATATCGGGATTTTGATCTAACATCATTCCTCAACTCTTATTGTAATATGCGTTCACGATAAGGGAACTTATCGTTTCCATGTACTATTATCAGATTATTACGCTGTTCCACTTTGTTTTAGTTTATACTTGACCATACTGTAATACGACGTCGGTCGACTGTGGCTATGAGTCTGTGACTCTCGCTTTTATGGCCTATATATGCTGAAACCTACAATATTATAATATAAAATATCATATTATGTATTATAATGTGTGCCCGCAGAATAACGCGTCGTTATATAAATTCATAATATTTTATATAGGCGTGTCTAGAATTTGTTCGCATATTTGGTCGAGAGAAATTTCGTGGGTAGCGCCCAATAAAATTGAGCCCTCGTAGGCGGAGTTCGCGGGGGCTTCGCCGCCTCTTTTTACATTTAGTTTTTTCGAAATCGTAGCCTATATATAGATACTCGTATTGTGTTTATCAAGTCTATTCGTCATATCCGTACTTACAACTGTTTTCGTTCTTATTCAAGATTTTAGTATATTATTAAAATAAATTATATCTACAATCGGGTATGAGATTAGATCTTTTTCATGGTCGAACAGAAAAAAAATTGTTCATTAGACGCTGGTATCAACTCGAAATTCATAAAAATCGAGACGTATAATGACCGTCGAGTTATATTTTCTAAACTCGCAACTCTTACGAGTTAAAAGTTTCACAATTGTCTGTTTTCTGAGGGAGGGTTTTAAATGAATTTGATTTTTATTTATTTTTTCAATCATTATGGAATCACTTGAGCTTCAATTGATCATTGTCTTAAGAAAAATATTTTTCATTTTAATCTGTGTTTAAATGTGATGAAAAGTCCTATTAGAAACTTCGCATTTAAGATTTAAGAGGAGTCTTCTTTCTTAGTGTTTATAGGCCGATGACTTATTACTGCTCCAAGTAACCAGGTAGAAGATACGTAGTGATAAAAAATGAATAGTAATATTAAAATAAAGCTTACATGAATCTAAAAACGATCGAAAAAGAACTCCAGAAATCAAATTTACATAATTAACAATAGTATTTTTATTGGTCGATTTAGACGTAAAAGCCAGACAAAATTATAGGAATTGTGTTAGACAGATTTCGATTTTGAAAGCGGATATTGATTCGTTTGGTTTTGTGTTAGGATAGTACAGTAATTTAATTGTATTTTTGTAAATTTATCATTAAATTTTAAATATTATAAAGTTTGAGAAAATGTATAAAAAACAATCCCTTTAAAATCTTTTAAAAACCCTAATTCATGATAAAATTAATCACCCTGTATAC